CCTCCCCCGCGGTCCTCCCAAAGGCCCCATTTTTGCACAGCTGATTGGTAGTTCCAAAATGGCCACCTGCTGTGTTGCCTTGCTTTAGAGGCACCGAAAATGGCCGCCCCGATGGAGGATTTTTGCATAAGGTGAGTTTTTAAGCCCATAGGAACCCATTAAACGCGTTTTAATGCATTCCTATGGGCTTTTTTACTTCGCATAGCGACGAATCCGGATAGCAACGATTTTTCCGGAACTGATTATCGTCGCTATGCAGGGCATCACTGTACTGTATTAAAATGTTTATGAAATGTGAGGGGCTGTACTTACTTCTGTGATATACTGTATATTCTGTAGTATTAATGAAAATAACATGCAAATGCATTGTATTGTAAGTAAATCTAGGCATTCTAACAAGCACTAGCAGAAGGGAGGGGGGATTTTACTCCAACCTTGAAGGTCAGGAACTGGGCAGGGCAGGCCTTGATGCAAGAAGTTGATGGGCAGATCCTGTGGCCTTCAACACTTGAGCTTTCCGAGGAGCCACGAGCAGCGAGAACAGGGGAATCCTAGTGCTCTGGATTCTCCTGGGTCTACTCCGAGACAGACGACCCCCCCCGGAGAAGGAGGGGGCAAGTTCCACAGGAGCGTGGACTTGTCAGCAAGTGGGAGCTTCGGAACCGCTGAATTTCAGATGGCAGTCTGATTTTTGGAAGAGGTTCCCTTCCTGCACGCAGTTCGTCTCGTGAAGTCGCCATGATTGGTGAGTTAGCTGCTCGGCAAAGGGGAGGAAAATTCTACTTGACTACAGAATAGAAATTAATCTAATCTGCTGACAAGCTACAGCAAGTAAAGATCAAATCTGCTATGTGAAAGCCGTTTGAAAAGGAGACCTCAGAGCGGCATAACATTGTTAATGCCTTAATACTGGAGGTTTTTTTTTACTACGCCACAGCACAAAAACGAAACCAACTTATCCCCTTTCCTCTCAACCCTCCCTCCTAGAGAACTGGCCTTCCATAAATCTGTAAAGTCAGGACTTAAGAACTTTAAATAACTTTGCAATGACTCTGTTTCTGGCTACAATGTTTATGAAGTCCCCCCTTACAAGACCTTAAGATCGGACTTGCCAATAAATCATGTGGAGATTCTGAGTAATTAATCTGTTGACTGGTACGACCATGGAAGGTGGGGGTGAGCTATCGTCGCAACTGGCAATGCATGATATCAAGGAACTTCTACAAGAATTTCAAAACTATATAATTGGACATTTGGGAAAACAAATTGAGGAGTGCAGACTGGACCTGAAAGGAATCTTTTCGGCTATGGACGAAAAAATCGAAAGCAAGGGGGAATTCCAGATAATTAATGAACAGTCTTTAATTGTGGAGAAACAGCAACTGGCACGATGCGAAGACAACTCAGAGTCAGAGAGAAAGAAGAAAAAGACTCATTTTTCTCAAGGGATGACCAAAAAAGACAAACGGGGAGGGGGCAGGAAACAATTCCGGCTGGATGACACTGGAGCTGACAAATAGAAACTAGAAAGGGGGAAGGTACTTGCTGAATAAATAATAGAAGTCAAATGTTTTAAGATAGATATAATTAATAGATAAAGCAAGATGATCAATATACTATAAGCAAATTTGGCCAAATATGAAATTTAAGATTAGATAAGTGTATGTGGTTTATAGATCTTAGAAATGATGATGAATAATAATGTTGGATGTTGGTTTTAAGGCATATATATGCATACAAGCATACAAGAACTATAAGAATGACTATGCTGAAAATATTAGATACATAGTTTACTGTATATAAGAATAGAGATTATCAAGGAATGAATAGGCCTGGGTGGATTTTATGCTGGATAAGAAAATTTAAAGAGAACATGAGAATGTGATGCATGAGAAAGGTAAATGATAAGAGACAGATAGATGGAAATGTAGATGAGAGAATTCAAAAAATTATTATAAATTTAAGATGTTAGATAATTATATATATGTAATAGCAATGTGGAATATAACATGTGCAGATGCACATGGATATATTATCTCTGTAGTCAGAATTTACATAATAGATAAGCTGGTATGAGAAACACCTCCCCGCTTATATGTTAGTTTTGTCACTTGTGTATGTCTTTTTAGTTTTACATGTTATTGCTTTGTAGGTATTCCTGTTGTTGTTTGTTGTAGTTATGTATGTTATAAAAATAATAAAATGTAATTAAAAAAAAAAAGAAGAATTACAGGAAGAAGCA